TCGTTTTCTCTATCGCTAGATAAAAAAGAAAATTTATTCAAGCTTTCTATAAAGAAAATAAGATAGTGACAATAGAACTTTTGGATAGTCCTAAGTAGATTCTTAGAATCCTTTGCACATAGACATTTACCGCTTGGACTTAGGAGAGAATTGCATTGGATCTGTTGGTGTACTATATTTGGCAAATGCCTTGCGAAATAACATGGTGAACCTTAGCTTTATTGCATTTCTGTCATATTGATCTTTTATATACAAAGACACTCAATATGCTGAATTGGGGAAATTTGGGGACTGAGCTCCCGTATTTTTTTCTGGTTACGCTGCTAGTCATAGCCATTTTGTGGTTTATGTATGTTATCAATAGATAAGGTTTTGGGAGATATCAGATTAAATGGCATGATAGAAGATATTATGGACCTATTATATAGCGAAAAAGAACATTAACTACAAAGCAAATTCATAACAAAAACTGTTAAGTCTCGAAAAGAACCGTTGTTATCAAGAATAACTTACACTTTCTAAACACATTCTGGAAACAATTGCTTTTTTGCGTTTAAATTAACTAAGTAAACAACCAATATAAATTCGATAGTCCTCTAGGAAAACGGGAAACGAAAACAAAAGGCCTAAAAGTGTGTTATTTTGGCGTACAACGGCTGTCGCTGGTGACAAAATTTTTCTCCCGCCTTCGGCAGTAGAGATTAGGATGTTGAAGAACTTTTTCTTTATCTACTTGGGAGTATTAGACTCTCTTTGGTATAGGTGAAAACAACTGAGATACGCGGAAAGGATGTGGGTGTGGGTGTGGGTGTCGGTGTGGGTGGGTGTGGGTGGGTGTGGCGTGAGTGAGGGTGTGGGTGTGGGTGTATGTGTGGATGTGGGTGTGGGTGTGAGTGTGGGTGTGCGTGTGCGTGGGTGTAGGGTGTGAAGCGTTGACATCTTCATCCTCACTCACACCCACACCGACGCCCACACCCACACCCACACCCACATCCACACCCACACCCACACCCACACCCACACCCACACCCACACCCACACCCACACCCACCCACAGCCACAGCCACACCCACACCCACCCACACCCACACTCATACCCCACACTCACCCACACCCTCTTAAAATCAGACAGTAATCGCATTTATTCTTTCCTTTTGAAAAATGGACCTTATCTAGAAGTATGTGACGATGATTATCACAAACAGAAGCCTTGTTAATCTCGAACTTATGTTGAAAAAAAATCAGCTTTTAGAAGCATCACCTCTAACAAGTTTTTAGCATTAGGAAAGCACTTAATATTGACCGTCTCCCGTTTTAACCCCAACAACGGCGTCCAAGTTGACTCGGGCGAACAAACAAGTCCATGATAACAATCACCAAAAAAACATCGGTTACTATTTATTTCTAACAAATCAAAAACCACTTACTAAAATTATTTGCTAATAATAATCGTTGATAAGTGACTTTATAACTGAAAGCTAATATGAAGAAATGTTTTGTAAGCGTATATTCGTATGAAAATGTAAATGTAAAATGACTACGTGATTCACGAACAAATTGTCTGAACATATACACAACTATATATTATCGCCCGTGTTCAATGAAAATTTTTCTTTTCTTTTTGTTGTTTCTCTTCACTTACATATTGTCGATGATATGCATAATCTCACAGTGAATTTACATTGACAGCAAAGAAAAAAAACCTAGCTTTGTTAGTTCATTCTTACAACATCTTTTTCATCATACTTGACATCATATCTAGAAATAATTTCGTACTGGATTTTATATCTATAGAAAGCAACAATAGTCGATTTTTTCAGTTATTTAGAACAAACAATCATTGAGATATATTGGCTGTATCTGAAAAATGTTTTAACATGAATGAAATATCTCAAAAATAATTTTTTCCTTATAAACAATTATCTATAGTGATTTTTGCATGATGTTAGGTTGATATACCTTGTAATTCATTTTTCACCTCGAACAGAAAGTTTTTTTAAAACTTTTTTATAATCATTTTGTAGAGAAAAAAAAGTTGTACAACCTATCAAAAATTCAGTTTGGGCCCGCTAGAAATAGCTGAATGTCAGCTGAAATACTGAAAAAAATTACATACTTTTTTAGTCAAAAAAGTGAGGCCTCATCAACAGTATTTGGCTAGTAAGATGAGTTTTATCCATTGAAAACTAATATGTAAATAGCTCATTTTGTTCAGCTTTTCACGCTCTATCTTTTGATGTAGTACTGAAATAAATTCTCTTACTCATTGAAGAATAACCTCAATTGACATGTGTGGTACGAATTGTGCGTGTTTTTGTCATAGAAAATTTTGGTGCTTAAAAGTTGGTTAGGGCTAACTTCCCTATAGTACATCCAAATGCGCTGATAATTTGGATTTGACAGTTACTCATTATGATCTTTCGAATGCATAAAAAATCATAGGGTCAAAAATTTTGGATTGCCTCGAATGCTCGGTCCCCTTATGGACCCTCTCTTAAGAACCTTGAAATTGTTGCGGCTCACGGCCAGTGAATTGCACGTTCATATCCACGTCGTTTGAATATAGATCCGTGGCGACAGTATAATCGATATTCATTACGTTCTTATCGGCTAATTGGGAACCAATTAAGGACATATACTTGCTTTTCTTGCTTCTTCGTTAACACGGGAGCAAACAAGATAAGATGAAAAGAAAGTTTGTTGACGACCTATCTATTCATATACATAAGAATGAATTTCGCTCGTGGGGTACCATTTCACTCCAATAAAGAAAACATCCACGTTTCAGCCGCTACTAGATCAATTAGGCCACTTTTCTTTTTGACATACTCCTACGTGTCTCCCCTATGTACACTAAAAGCATCATTTTTTCATCTATCGTCGTCGAATTCGCAAAAACAGAAGAAATCAATGAGCACTTTTTGGTGTCAACTACTGACGAAAACTATTTTCTCCCGCACAATTTTGACTAAATAAAAAATCTAGTTGTAGAATTGTTTTGTGCCTGGGTCTTTCTTCTGTCTGACCGTATGGACATCTCACACCATCAGTTTGCATTTACCTATCAACTCTTGCAAAACCTAGTAGAACACACATTTTGACCATTTTATCTTCTCAGAGGTTCAGTTTACACTACGCTAGTCGATTTAAACGCCAACTCCAATTTTCTTTTTTAATTCAACAAACAAAAGAGCTGGAAATATTTTCATAAATAAAATTTTTTGCGTGATCTTGTCAACCAAAAAATAATTGGAAAAAAAGAGGAAAACATAGCTATTTATCTAATCAATGTTCTAATATCTTTTCGATTTTGTTTCACTAATTTCTCAATAACCATAAAACATCAACCAATGACATTTTTATTGTCTTTCATCAAACCATATAGTAGAACTGTGTTACTTATTACAATTCTCAAGTAGAAATCATTATTCGGATAAAAATTATATTCTACTCGAAAAATGTTCAAACTTTCATTTCAAATAATCTTAACCGAACTAGTAGACGTTTCCAAATATTTATTGTATAATATTCTTACTGTGAGTGACCTAGAGTATTTGTCTGGTTTTTCGTTTCCTATCATGCGATAACTCAGCGTTTTACGTAGAAATTTCAATGAGAACTGGACGTTTCTCTAACGAAGAAGCTGACAGTTGGGGAAAATCTTCGATCTATATTCAAGCAATGAAGTTCTATCAAAGTTAGAATACTTCGGCATATTTCAAAATTGACTGCACGAAAAACACCGAAAGTAAAAAGAATGGAAATAAAAAGTATCGAAATTCTATAAATGCAACTGCACGACACATTATTCATGTATAAGAGTAAGGTATGGATAGTGCTGTAAATTACTTAAGCAGTGTTGATGAGAGAGTGTGTTGATGCTGCATTTGGAGTACATTAGGTATTTTGTCTTCTGACATCTGATTAGTTTCGACGTGTTTCCGTTCTATGATATTTATCTTATAAGTTACTTAAATCGTCTTATCAGGGTAAAAAACCAACAATAAAAAAATGATACCAACATGAAGGATAAAGAGGATAGAGTCATAAAAAAACAAGTTTGAGAGAATTATACTATTGAAAAAAATTAAGTGAAAAATTGTACAAGTAACGACTGCAACAGAATAAATGCCGGTCTCACGAGGGAGCATATTTGAGTGTATCCACGAAGGAAAGGTTTGAAACCATTCTATACAAGACGGACCTAAATGGACATCTCGGATATAAATATCTTAGTTGCCCTCGTTCAGACCTTGACAAGAGAGAAGCATATCAAATGGTTCGAAATTTTTTATTTCGTGTACTCTTCTAATAAAAAATACATAATTTGAAAGAGCGTGGAAAACTGAACATGGCGATCTAGTTTTTACCGAGACGTACTCCCAAGTACCCAGCAAAAATTTTTAAAAAACATTTCTCATAAGTAAATAGTCTCCAATATTTGTTTCGTACTGTTTACCTCTTTTCAATATTCGGTGTACTAAACAAACTAAACTTCAGTAGCATATTGATTCTTTTCTGTGTCGTAGTGATTGTGAAAAGCTCCTTCAATCTGTTTGTCATGCAAATATTGAAGGAAGATTATTTGGATATCACATCTGACGAATTCGTAACGATGCACTACAAAATAAAACTCTATTGTGCTTTCTTAAGTCCTCTTTGAATTTCAGTTTGATATGTTCATAAAGAAATTTTTGTTAGTAAAAAAGTCTTGCAGATAAATCAAAAAAATAAGATTTATCTCGATGCTATAGATCGACAAAATGCCGTAGTTATTTTTTTAAGGATGATTTTGATATTTCAAGCTAAACATAAGGTTTTGTGGGAAGTTTTTTTATAATGGTTCATATAATTCTGCAGTATTTTTGGCTCCACGATCATAACCAGCAGCAACTAAAACTTTTCCGTTTGTCAATGTTGCTGCGATGTGATCAGTCCGAGTATGACTCATATTTCCAGTAATTATCCAATTTCCTGTCGATGGATCATACAATTCAGCGGTATTAAGATCATCAACAGCATATCCACCGGCAATTAATACTTGTCCATTTGTTAATACGGATGCTGTATGATCAAACCGAATATCCTTCAAACTATTGATAACTGTCCATGTTTCTCTAGCTGGATCATATAATTCAGCACCACTTGTAGGATCATGTGATCCACCAATAACTAATACTTTTCCATTTGCTAATACAGTTGCTGTATGGCTTTCTCGTCCACTCGTCATATTGCCAGTATATCTCCATGTTTCTGTTAAAGGATCATACAGTTCAGCAGTACGTTCATTAGGATGATCACTTCCACCAACGACTAAAACTCTTCCATCTTTTAACACACATGCTGTATGATGTTCTCGTCCACTATTCATACTAGTAGTATTTGTCCATGTTTCTGTTGATGGATCAAACAATTCAGCACTATCTAGATGAGTACGACCATTAAATCCACCAGTAATTAAAACTTTGCCATTCGGTAATATAGTTGCTGCATGTTCACTTCGTGCATGTTGCAGTGAATCAGTAAGTGTCCAAATACCTGTTGATAGGTCATACAATTCCGCAGTATTTTGATAACCACGAGAAGCTTCTCCACCCGCAACTAATACTTTTCCATTTGTTAATATAGATGATGTGTGAAATTCTCTTTCAATATTCATGTTACCGGTAAGTGTCCAAGTGCCTGTCGATGGCTCATATAATTCAGCACTATTTAATTGATATGTACTACCCATTCCACCAGTAACTAACACTCTTCCATCATTCAACATAGATGCTGCATGTCGATACCGTGCATTAACCAGGTCACCAGTGTTACGCCAAACTAGATGAAAAATAAAGAGAAAAACAATAGTTCCAAAGAAATTTTCTCTATTAAAAAATAGAAATATAGCTTGAAATGTCACACTTATACTCGACGTTGAAACTCAATAAAAAGAATCTGATATCAACGGATCGGGAGAATCCCAATAATAAATTCATGACGACTCACCATACTGTTGATAGGACGTCGTAGTTGTTGGTGTTGTTGTTGTAGTTGATGTTGTTGTAGTTGATGTTGTGGTAGTGATTTCAGACTTCTTCGGTTTAAGAATAACAAATTTTAATATGAGCGAAAAAATAATTATAAATAATAAAAGAATAATTAAACCTATACAAATCAATTTAGTTCGACGTTGCTGCCACCACTGAAAGCGCTTTATTTTTCTAACAGCAGTATCACTGAATGGATTAGAATTCATCGTGTGTCTTAAAAAAAAAACTTTAACTCACACACTACAATAGGGTATTGTTCTTTTTTTCTTAACGTAGTAACTAAAGATAAAAGTTATTATTTCGAGGACACATAGTCATGCTTTATCATATGATAACGCCATACTCTGTTGATGCACGTATGATAATGCAAAACCGTTTTTTTTTTCGAATAATTTTATGATTTTTACGATTGAAGGTGAATGAATTATTTCGTGTATTCTTGTCGACAATCATTTGTAGCATGTTGAGATTATTATCGAGATACGATTTGAGGGTGGGTGAGGGTGAGAAATGAAAATTTATCGAATCAACAATAGCTAATGTATTAATGATCACGAAGTAAGAATGAATAGACAAATAAATAAATTGGATCGATAGTAACAGATAAATAAGTTAAAAGAGAGAGAATTAGTTGATTAATGTAAAAAAATGAATTATTTCAAGTAAATATTTTTTTTGTTTTTTTGTAAATTTTATGTTTTTTGAAGATTCTTATCTTAAACTATTTTAAGAAAAGAATTAGAGAAATAAACTAATTTTGAATAAGAAAAGAGAAATTGAAAGAAATGAGCTTTTTTTGAATTTTTAATGAAAGAGAAATTTGAACTTGAACGAGATTATTATTTAAGAGAAAGTAAATCAAACTTGTTTTTTGAATTTTATTTGAATTTTAAATTTTGATACAATAAATTAACAATAAACAATAAGCGACACGTTTCGAATGCTTTCTTCAGGCTAAACTGACTATCTACACTGAATGTCTATTTTTTATAGACTTACTTTCTCTGTTCTTGTTCTTTTGTTCTACTCTCGTCCGATATTAATATAGATATTCTTTCATTGTGAAAGACGTTTATTCACTGACTAGTCTACCTCCATACGAACTCAATACTCTGTAAAAGGTCAACTCAACTCAACTCAACTAAACTCAATGGAAAAAAGGCGACTCAATACTATTACAAAAAAAAGACTTGAAAAACAGATACAAAAAACTATAACAAAATACATAAAAATATAAGAAAACTAAATGTCTGAATAAAAGTCGTTGATCGCCGTTGGTCGATCTAAAAATATAAACGGCAAAAAAAGCGAGTATCTGTTTTTTATATTATTTTGTTTTATTTTACTGTTCTAGATTCTCTCCCAGGACGAGCATTACGACAGTCGTAAACGGTCGTACACGACGTCGTATGCGATCGTGTACTGTCGTATACGGTGTAAATTACGATCGTATACGACCGTATTTTGCCGTATTACTTGACGCCAGAATTACGACCGTATATCGTCGTGTCGTATACGACTTGTATACGACCATCGCAAACGATCGTACACAGTCGTATACTATGTCGATTATTACCATCTTTCATGCAAGCTTTTGCTACCTACGCCTTCCCCCCACTCTTTAAAAATAGAAAAACTAATCCTTGGAGTGTCCAGGCTGACTGGAGTCCCCAATTCTTTTTTTCTCATGCAGCTTCGATGATATATCATCGTATTGTTTCGATATATCATCAAAACTGCATGAAAAAAAAAGAATTTGGACCTCCAGTCAAATTGGACATCCCATTTAATTAAATTGACACTCAACTATTTCATCTATCCTTTGTGATAATCTAAAAAATAAAAGCTAAAATTTATTTAATCTAAAACTAAAAAATAGAATTTATTTAATCTAAAAAATAAAAATTTTAATGTATTTAATCTGAAAATAAAAGCTAAAATTCATTTAATCAAAAACTAGAAAAAGATCCAAGAAAAAGCCTAAAAAATAAAATATTTAATTTATTTCATCTGAAAATAAAATCTAAAATTTATTTAATCTAAAAGATAAAAAATCGAATTCATCAAATAGAAAATTAAATGTATAATAGAAATATTAGTATTAGATCTAATCTAATGTATAGCATACTACACTATGCGCTAGTCTAAATTTAAAAAAATTAATTGATAAAACAACGATTTTACACTCATTCAAAACTGAAGATTTAATATTATCTAACTAATTTCTATTGGATAAGAAATCTCTCTCTACTTCATCTATAAAACAAGAAGCATTCATCCTTCTACTGCTATGAACTGACTATTTCATGACAAAGCTAATATATTAAATACGAGATGCCTATCTTACGTCAAGAATTGAGTAGTCAATGGGAAAAGAATGCAGATATATATATACATGCTTACAAAATAAGCAGGCATGTCGGGGTGGTGTGGGTGTGGGTGGGTGTGGGTGTGGGTGTGGGTGTGGGTGGGTGTGGGTGTTTATGGGTGTGGGTGTGGGTGTGGGTGGGTGTGGGCAGGTGGTGTGAGTGTGGGTGTGGGTGTTTATCTTCTCTTAATTGACACCCACACCCGCACCCACCCACACCCCACACCCACACTCATACCCACACCCACATCCAGGTCCCGCGCGAGGGTCCCAGAATTAGGGGAGTGTAAGGGAGTTTCGGAGCAGTCAATATTGAGAGACGCAAAATTTCTTTTGCATCAGATCTGATAATCTTTCTGTTGCGACCAAAATGTAGCAATTTTTCGCGGCGCGTCAAGTTTTTGCCGCCTTCTTAAAAAAATTCGACGTTCTCTAGCAAATTTTCAAAAGAACTCGTGTCCAATTTGAGAAAATTTCTCAATACTTTTGTTATCCAAGGCGACCACTCTGGTGAAAATCGTTCTAAATTAAGCGGTTTTGAAGAAAACATTGACTAAAGTAGGAGGTTTGTCTCAAATAACTGCGGTTACACAATTGCTATTTTTCGCGAAGCGAACACTTTTTTTCAGACTCATAAATAACTCTTCTTTTTCTTACGTTGGTCGAAAGAAAAAAATGTTACAATAACTTTTAGCAATTTTGCCGCCGAAGGCGGCCATGCTAGTGACGATTACTCGAAAATGAAGCTCTTCAAAAGGAAGACAGCAGTAAACATGCCATAAAAGCGGAAAAATCACAGATATTTTTAGAACGAGTACGCTCACGTGATTACTTTTTCGCGAAGCGAAAAGTTTTAACATCTTTTCAGAATTTTCTAGCAGAAAATTCCAAAAGCTTAATTATTGGAGAGGGGGGTCGGTTAACCCTACTTTGGTCGAAAGGTAAAAATATCGAAAGATAAAAATGTCGAAAATAAAAATGTCGAAAACGAAAATGTGCGATCTTGATGTGGATGTGAGAGTTAGAATGAGGGTGAAAGAACTTCTTCTCCCATACACTATCATTTACAACATTTGTACCTTTCGACATTTCTATTATTTTTGGTTTTGATATTTTTCTTTTCGACATTTTTACCTTTCGACATTTTTACTTTCGATCAAAGTAGGGTGAATCTTTTTTTATTTGTACCGATCATTAAAACAATTTTTATGAGTAAAGAAAATTTTCGGTTAATAAAAAAATTATTAGTAGTACAAAAGTTTTTCCTATAATGAAATATAGTTTACCATAAAAGTAAATTGAAGACAAAAAAAGCACAGAAAAACTAATAAAGAAAATGAAAAATAAATAATCACACTTATAAAGCAGGTTAATTTTTCCTACTGGACTTCAATATTTCTCTCTGATCAATCAAAGCTGTCTTTATTGATACTTCTAGGTTATATTTTGTTTTTCAGTAAAGAAGAAGTCGTACAAATTATTCATTATAAATCACTCAAAATGGTGACTAACTCTCGATATATCATAATTCCATCACGTTTGTATTATTCACAAATAGTTAAAAGTGAGGGTAACGAAAGAAGAAAAAAAATGTATGTGTATGCAAGTGTCGAAACTGCCATTATGTTGCAACTATTGTCAGATTCGATAGCGAATATACATTAAAACTTAAGTTTCATAGCTTCTAGATCGACATTTACTCGAGTACATAGTAATGAAATCTGATCAATTAAAAGGCAAATAATTTATTACAATCAATAAATGATTATTTATGTTTCTATTTGCGAAACAAACAAGAGATTTGTATATCAGAATGGATTTAATTGAAGCCTATTTGTAGGTGGTCAAATGTTCGATTCATCGATAGGAGTCGAATCTGATAGTAACTAATATGATAACTATATTATTTTACTATTAAATCATTGGACATACTGATTTTATTTGTATTTAGTATACTGATCAGTTAAATTATAGTCGAAAAAGAACTTCAAATATGTGTTCATTGTTAAAATCAATGAACAAATGATTTTTCTTTTTTTAAATTTTTTATTATATTTTATTATAATCATCATTACTATAATTCACATTTAACTCCTAGTTTAAAAGGGCTTTTATTTTAATGGCTGAAAAGATAAAAATTGATTCTTCTTTCATGAAAAGCAGAAGTAACCCGTTCGATTTCTACTTTCGCTGCTACAAAGAACACATAATAAATGTACAAAAAAGAAATACATGTCACCATATATTATTGTTGCTGTGGCCTTAAGCATTAGGGGCAAGGATCCAACGAATAAAAGGGTAGTTCTTGCATCTAATAATAAATAATATAGAAAAGTAAAAAGTATATAGTTATATATATAGGATGAAATATACCCATCAATGAATTCTTGTTTACTTATTTTCTTGTTACGATCAGCATCAATTTTTGCGATAATATCTGCAGCACGTTTTCTTGGATCTTTGTCATAGTCTCGATCAACTTCGCCAAGAAGATCATACTATATGAAACATCAATATAATTTGTCTCATGTATGAATTTGAGTTAAAACCCTACCATGGCTGTAATTAATTTTGTCAGTTCTTTCTCATCAATTTGTCCATCACCCGAAGTGTCATACCTATATAACAGAAAAATGATTAATTAAACAATACAATATTTGATATGCTTACATATCAAAGAAAAAAGCTAGATGATCATCAAGATTGCCTTGATTTGTAGATCTAATAGCTATAAGAAATTCTTGAAAGTCAATAAAACCATCATCATTAGTATCAAATGTATCAAAAGCATATCTGAATGATAAATAGATATTTTTTATATTTGTATGATGCTATTTTACAAAAATATACTTGCAAAAGTTGTCTGGTTTTCCGTGTGGATAGAGTTGTTTGTAAATGGCGACAAATTTTTTTCTGTTAAGTTTACCAGTAGGACAATCATGACGAAATCTCTAATACAGGAAGAAATAAATGAAAAAGAAAAAGTAGTTGTCGATTCTACTAACAACGTACCATTGCCGTATTTCTATTTATAAAAATAAAAATAAAAATAGATAACCATAAAGAACAAAAGACATTTACCACTTTCACTAAATTTAGTATTTCCTTTGAGTATAGCAATATCTAAAATTAATCAAATAATATATTTTGAAATCAATTAATTAAAGTTGCTCACATGCTGGAGTTAATTCTGTTGATGAAAATGATTTGCCACCACCATGTTTATTACCCATATCAACTAATGATTATAAATGCACAGCGAACAGTCAAAAAGATATAAATCTAAAAGACAAAAAAAACAAACTAACTTTGTTGATATTATTCATTATAAATTTATGAATGTCAGCAGCTCGTCTGCAGCTGAAATGTGGAACTCACGTACTCTGCATACAATATGAGAAATCATCTCTCTTACGATCGAAATTGCTGAGATATCCAATATTGGATGTTGGTAACTAAAGTGTCTGTAATGGGGACTATCTGAAAGAGGAACCTATGCTGCTAAATGTCTCTAGTGGTAGTATACGTTACGAAGTATCTGTAATGGTGTCGTGTGCAACTATGCCTGTGTGATGCGGCGGGGAGGAGCCCCCAAAACATCGACATAAAAGTTACATTCACTGTCTTCTTCGAAAATATATGTGAGTTTCACAAAAAACATAGTAGTAGTACGCGAGGTAACATAATCACTTGATGTATTTCGAAGTACGTATATGACATGAAACCACTTCCATTATCGTGAATCATTTGGTGAATAGAGTTAGTAATGGCTTCTTGGTTTCTAGTTGTTTACTTTTTCTGGTAAAATACAAAAACTTGTGAATGATCATGGAGGAATCAGCTACAGACGACAACGCGCGAGAGAAAAACGAAAGTTTTTCACATTACTCGCACTGACAACACTAACCAGAAAAGAAAATCGAAGCATTTTCAATTCACGATTATTGTTCTTGCTGACTGGTATTTATGTAAATACACTTATAACTTGAATGGTTTACTTTGTGAGCTTGCTTCAAGTTGTTGTATAGGAGAAAAAAACAATGGAAAAATGAGATTTTAAGTGTCTTCCAATAGCAACGCTAAATAATTGAAAATATCAGTAAGTTTTATACATTATTTGTAGAACATAATTTAGATTCAACTTATTCTCTTAGAGTATTTTACAAAAGAATATAACAAGTAATGTATAATACGCTAGTTATAGAAAAAAGTGACTATGTACAAAATTTTAGTTGGTCTTATTTTGTGCAAAATATTCAGAATACTTGAATAAGAATCAATTTATATAAAGCATATCCCCAGTGTAAGGAATTTAAATAGTTTTTCTAAAATATGGTTATATATTCAAGAAAATTTTAATGAATGTATTTAGAATCAATTGTATATATCTACAGACGTAAAAATTATAGTAATTTTACTAATGAGCTAATTAGAGTCGATTATCATTATGATAAAGTCACAAATTGATTTAAGCAAAATTACATCAAATGAATTTTTTATCATAAACATATTCAATGAGCATGTGAAACAAGTACCATAGAGAATTGATTACATTCTGAAAGATTTGCATTCATCATTGAAGAAATGTCAACAGAATCAAGGACACATGTGAGAATGAATTATTCTGTCTGTGGCACAAGCTTGCTAACTAAAATAGACACGAACACACAAAATTGTGAAAAAAAGAAAGACGGCTACATAAACCGAGACAATTGATTAAAGCTTGTTTTTCCAGATATAATCCGTTTTATCGCATTGATCTTTTCTAAATTTCATCGATTTTCAACAACACAACCCTGAAAAAATTATTGAAAGGCAGCTTTAATACAAAGTTCACATAATAAAAATAATATTAAATCAATTTAGAAAAAGAAAAATATTTTGTATGAATATTAAGAGTAATTTGCTCTATAAGAACATTTATATTAAATGTTAATCGACTAAACTATGTACATAATATGGTATTATAATAATCATATTGATATTATAATTAATAAGATATAATATACTTAAAATTATAGATAAATCAGCACTTTTATATGCATTTAACAAAATCAATTTTAATTATATTTAGAAAAAAAACAAAGTACATTTCCACCTGTCTAATGAAATAACATAAAAAGTAATATCGAATATATATGTATTTCTATCATAATTATTTATCATTGTATAATCTACTTGCTTGAAATTTTTCAATGAAATATTTTAGATTTTATTGAAAAAAATAATAAAAAGAACATGAAAATAAGTAACTTTACTCATTAATAATAGGATTATGTTAGTTTTAGTATATTTTTTTTTCTGATAAATATAATAAAAATTCATGATTTTTTTTGAAAAAAGAAATTTTTAAAAGTTTCTAATATACTTCATATTCACTAGAAATTCTAAAACATGTTTCGTAAAGAAATACAACAGAAGCATATAATAAATAGACAATCTTATGATTTATTCTTATATATCAATTAAAGTTTTGCACTTTATAAAGAAAATTCTACTGAATTATCCTTTTGTTTCATAGGAAAAAAGAATTTTTTATTTTCTAGAATAAAATAAATATTCAATATAATAACTTTAAATGATATTCAATTAAATCTTGTCCAAACCCTATCAACACAATACATATTTATATAGATAAACAAATCTGTTTCTTTTTGTTTTATCAAATATTTTCAAATTGTTTGTTAGTTTTTATTTGAATAATGGGTTTACAATGAATAAATGCATAAATTTAAAAAAAAATATTTTACAATTAATATTGAATTTATTTCTTTAAAATTTAATATAAATAAAATTTTTTCTTATTTAAATACAACACAAATTATTTTTGAATTTGTGAATAAACATAATAAATTCAATGAAATTTCAGTAAGACGAAAATTTGATCAATGATTACGAATAATAATTTTATAGTTTTAGGTACAATTAATATAGAAAGTTCAGAAACGCCCCATGGTGTAAAATATCGAAGGAAACGCACTGCGCAACGCGTTTTGTAATACTTTCTCAACAAAAAGCGCGTTTCATAGTATTCTTACTTAGGCAGAATGTGTTTTGCTACTGTCATTTTGCAAAACGGTCTGAAACGCTTTCATTCGAGATTGCATTTAACAGCGTTTCCAAAGTCAAACGCTGTAGAATGCATTTAAATCCATAGAAACGCATTCTAAAGACACAAATAGGGGACAATACGAAACGCGTTTCTTTTTAAACGTGTTCTACATCGTTCTTAGTTAGAATAGTGTTAGTTGTTCCCTAGACTGAAAGGCTAGGGTCTAGAAACCTAAATTCACCTGTGTCTGTGTGTCTGTCCGTCTGTCTGTCTGTCTGTCGGTAACGCGGTCAAAATGGTCATGATAACTATGGCACAAGCGGTCATTTTTTGGCACAAACAGCCATTTTTTTTGCAAAATTAACTAGGTAACTATGGTACAAATGACCATATG